CAGGGAATCCTAAGTCAGCATTTCATACCCTCCAAAATAGCAGTTATGAAAGTCCAAAAAATTAGAAAAACTAAACCATGTGAGAAAGAAGTTTGGAAACCTTAAATATCCTCTTCCTCTAAACTTGACATTCCTTTTTAATTATGGAAACATGATTTATTATGTTTATTAGCTTGGGTTTTCCTCCCTCTTGCTGCCAGAACAATGCTAGTTTGGTTTCTTTTTGGAGCACTGAGCCTGTTCCTTGTGTACATTGTGCTTTTTGTGGTTCATAGTGGAGTCTGTCACCCAGAGGCCAGTGACTCACAAGCCCCAGCTCCAAGGGCTGCATGCCACAGGTCTTGGTGGCTTGATGTGACACACTACCCTGACACCCCCTGTGATCAGTGATGAGGTCACATACGTGACAAAGAAATCTGAAGCAAGCTGTTTGAAAGTCAATAACATAAAATCAGGAGGAGTTAAACTGTCAATGATCTGGCCAGCTTCCTCACGCCTACATTAGAGACCAATGCACTGAATTTGTGACTTATTCAAATTATTCAATATTTTTTAAAGGGTGTTGCTGCTGCCACCTAGTGGAAATATTGTAAATATCACAGCTTCGTGATGAGTGCTTAAAATTAAGGTATTTTTTGTGACTGGGCTTAAGTTGGTAGCTTGATATGCTCGCTATCTTTCTGCAAGGTCTGCTGTGTATATTTTGGTGTTTTTATTCTGACATGAGGATGTGGAAATCCAGAACGCTAATTTTAATTTAACACGAAAGTTCTTCTAGGATAATTCCAAGGGCAAAATTTGTTACACCAATATAAGATCTTGTCAATTTCTCCTATTTCAAATACATTTGGGCTAAGTTTGAGGGGTTTTTCAAGCTTTTTACCCTCATTATCTGATGGAGAGGCCATTACTAGCTTCGATTCAATTTGAGGGCACTGCAAATGCTTAGTACATTTGCCCTGAGCAAATGCACTCTAATTTGTGGATATGTTATCAAAACCACAAGCGAGTTTTGTCCAGGTCCAGTTGCCTACCACACAAAGATCCAGTTATTGAGACAACGAGGATTGACAAGGAAGAAAGGAATTTTTAATGTGAAAGATGTCTTGTGAGAAGAATGGGAGAAGTTGCCTCAAATCTGTCTCCCAGTGAACAGAGATTATAAACCTCAAAGGAGGGGCCACATGCTTTGGGGCAAGTCACGGTGTAACCAACAAGGTGCTACCTGCATTGGGGGGCAGGTTGTGGGGGATGGCAAGCCATCAGGAAGTCTGTCCAGGGCCTTCAGAATCACAACTCCTGTGTCTTGTAGAAGAGTCACTATTTCTGGGAAACAACTCAAAAGGTCAAGTAGTTAAGGGTGAGGATTCAAAAAAGCATATCTGATCTTGGAGCCAGTTATAGTATTACTTATCACAGAACATTCATTTAGTCTCCTTATTCCATTTCTGAATCTCTGTGCAACTAGGCTATCTGTAATTTACCTGTAACCTATTTCAAAGAAGATCCCATTAGGACCATCTGCTCAACTCATAAATGAGCTCTCTCATTTAAAAAAAAGAAATTTTTTTTTCAGAACAGAGTTTCACTCAGTCACCAGGCTGACAGAGTGACAAGTTCAGTGCCATGACTATAGCTTAGCACAGCTTCAAACTCCTGGTTCAAGCGATCCTCCTGCCTCAGCCTCACCAGTAGTGAGGACTACAGCTGCACACCACCACACCCGGTTAATTTTTCTTTCCTCTTATATTTTTTTAGAGATAGGATCTCACTATGTTGCCTAAACTGGTCTTGAACTCCTGGCCTCAAGTGATCCTCCCACATTAACCTCCTGAGTCTCTGAGATTACAAGTGTGAGCCAATGTGTCTGGCTACAAGCTCCCTTTAAATACTGCTCCTACCCACAAGTATAAGCTCCAAATAGACATTTGGTATAATTTGAATTTGATGCTCTGGCCACATTGTAAGGACCACTGATTAGATTGGGAATTTGAATTAAGACTGGGACAAATATGGAAGTTAGGACATGATCTTGACTATATATGTTTATATATCTCTATTTCTGTCTGTTTATCTATCTGTTAATAGGAGAGAGAGAGAGAGACGATACAAGCAAGTGCTAACACATGGGGAAAATGCTTCTGAAATCAAGTTCAACATCTTTTTAAAAAAGAAAGAAAAAAAATGTAAATGATGCTCCACATTCAGATGTGTCTAGAAAACCTTGCTTTCTTGGCCACAGAACTACATGCAGACTTTAATATGCTAGTGTGCACCATGAGTCTTATGGAAGTAGGTGTAGACTACTGTGTTGCTCAAAATCTTACCAGGAAGTCCCCCGTGACACCTATAAAATCTCTCTCAGAGGCGTGTTACAAGGAGCTCTTCCTCAGATGTTTCCTAAAGGACTGTGGGAACTGGAGGACATCAAGGGGTTGCTAAAAGCAAATTGCTGATGCCATACCAGAGCTTCTTACTCAGTAGGTCGGGGGTGCACGCGATGTGCATTTCTAGTAAGTTCCCAGGTCCTCCTGCTGCTGGTGGTCTGCAAAGCACACTGTGGGAGGTACTGCGCTAAAGTAACCTTTCCTGCGCAAAGCAGAGTTAGATACCACCGACCTGGAGTTTCCCTGAGAGGTAGGTCTTCTGCTGAGAGTAAGGCCAGGGGCAGTGTGTGGCCCTTTACCACACTAGCACAGTTCACTGGCTCCAGAAGGGCCACCCCAGCGCTCCGCGGAGATAGGTGACCACTTTGTTTCAGAGGAGTATTGACATCCATAGGCTAAAGAAGTTAATGTTTCCATCAACTGACTTAATTACCAAGAAATAGACATTCACATGCAACTCTCTAGAATGACCATGCTATTCATGCCACTTTTCTTAGCTTATAGGCTTTAAAAGTCAATAAGCTTTCTTCCCCTCTTGTTTATCAGAGAGAGAGAGAGAGAGAGAGAGAGAGAGATCCATTGGTTTATATTTGGCATTGTGACTTACTTGAAGGACAAGAGAAATATGGTGGTATCTAAGAGGTCCTTTGCCACAGTTTACCCAATCCACACTCTGCCAAAATCATCATAAAACACCCTGTAACTCCCTACTAGTCTCCAAGAAATCCATTCCAGTCTGGAAGAGTAGGTCTGGAGCCCTTTCCCCGACCCCCTTCACTGGCCCAGTTAACCTCTCATTTTTAACATTGTCTCAGGTATCTCTTTCCTTGGAGCCTTTCTTGAACCACACTCCTGAGCCCCTCCACCATCCCCCCATCCACCCCCTCCCCATATTTTCCACAGTACAATCCTCCTGGTTACAACACCAGGTTTCTTTTCTTTCTTTCATTCATTCTTTCTTTCTTTGTTTCTTTTTTTTTCCCCCCCCAGAGACAGGGTCTCACTCTGTTGCCCAGGCCTGAGTGGAGTGTAGCCTCAAACTCCTGAGACATTTAACCTTTATTAAATATCTGGGAATGGGCAGGAAAACAGAAGGAACCTAAGGAAAACAGAAGGGACCTAAGTTTCTTAAGCCCAGGGGACCCTGGGGTTTCTAGGTAGTGTTTGGCCTCCTCATTGGAGTTCCCTGCCTCTCCCAGATTTTCCCAACTTCACCCAAGCTACCAACCCTTTCATTTCATAAATGGGAAACGAAGGCCCAAAGAGATTAAACGGCCTGCCCAAAGTGACACGGCAGAGTTCACGGCAGAGCAAGGATTAGAATTCAATCTTCCTGACTCCAAATGTATTGCTCTTTTCACACACTCTCAACAGGGAAGATTCTGAGGAATGTGTGGGTCCCACCTTAGGAAGCTAGCCCAGGGAGAGGGGGCTCATCTGCAACAGGGCTGACCAAACTCTGTTGGATCTTCTGTTAACAAACCCTGATGCAACTAATTCTAAATTCTGAATGTAGTCTTCTTACAAAAACAAACAAAAACCCAAACAGTGAGGGAACTACACTCATCAAGAAATACTGGCAATGGACACTCTTGGTCTTGAGAAAAGCTTAAAATTATACCTAAAGACAAAGTATACCATATAACAATGTCTGTTGAAAATATCATTTTTATTATAAACAACATAAGCACTTCCCAATACATTTTGCAAATACACACTTCATTTTCTTTGCCTGAGTTTTTTTTTTTTTTTTTTTTTTTTTAGCCCGCCATGCCTGAGTTTTTTTGAACATGATCTCTCAGCACTATAGTCCTTCCCTTGATAGCCACTCATATATTCAATAAGTGCCTTTCCAAATATCAGGCACTGGGAAAAATGCTGAGAGGTTTGTTTTTTTAAAAAAAAAAAGAAAGAAAGAAAGAAAAAGAAAGAAAGAAAGAAAGAAAGAAAGAAAGAAAGAAAGAAAGAAAGAAAGAAAGAAAGAAAGAAAGAAAGAAAGAAAGAAAGAAAGAAAGAAAGAAAGAAAGAAAGAAAGAAAGAAAGAAAGAAAAGAGGAAAAAGGCCTGGTCCTGTATCTCAAGAGATCAAAATCTGGTAGACCACTTTTTTTATTTCAGATGTTTCTGCTTTAACATATGTTCTTCCAATTCATAAGATATATTTTATTCCATGTTATACAAGTCTTTAGAAAATAGCCTATATATCCAAGGTAAACTGGACAATTAAAATAATTAGCTAGATAAAATAGGGTTAGGACACTACTTTTAGTCTTCAATAATCAAATGATTTATGAAAAAGTGATGCGATGGCCTTAGATTATTTTGATAATAATTTTAATTTTGTACTATGTGACTTTTAAAAACCTGAAATGTTTTAATAAAAAGAGAGAGTTTGTCTCTATTTTCTATAAATATGCAAAGAAATATTTGTTTTATTTGAGGGCAGCCTTTGACTCATTGCCAAAAGTAAAAATTAAACAGAATCCAAAGGCCACATCTATTATCCTTACCATTAGTCTTTGCCTCCTATCTTTAGTGACTTAGATATTTTCCTAGTGTCTGTGTGAAAAAGGACATGTGTGTCTGACTATTCTCAGTGCAAAACACAAATGGAAAGTTGTCCACAATCTATTTATTACAGACATTTCCCTTTCATTTATCTATTTTACATATGGCTACCTTATGCTCCCCTACATTCAATTTTCACACAATTTTATACTTTTTAGAAAGGATGATTCATTAGTTATATAAATGCGATTTACTTTTATGCCTTTGTAAAGTTTCTTTATAAATATATTTTAAAATTACGCTAACTCTTATTGACAGCCCACACGTCTCATTTTTGGTGCAGGGAATAGTATCAACCATTGCTTCTGCAAAGTTCACAAGAATCAGGTGCTCCTTAGAGATCCTCAGTTTCATTGTTTTAAAATTCTTCAGTGTGGTTCCAGCCACGTATAGTTATATAGATACTACATAGTCAAAGATAACTTACTGAAGCTTGTTCACAGAACTAAGCTTTCCCCTGATATCTCTCCTCCCCCTTGCTCCCACACTCCTGGAAGTATTATCTCAGGTGCTTTTCAGGATTTAAATAATAATTTTTAGAAGACACTTAACACCACAGTAGGGAATTTGTTGGCATGACTCGAACAATACGGTTGCTCCAGATGCTATATTCGAACTGTATGGGTCCACTGAAAAAATAGATGTAACCTACAAGAAAAAGACCATAAAGAACATTTCAGTGTGAAAATAATAAGGTTTTGCTCCAGCTAATATTAAAGGTCCAGTCTCTTAGATCCCACATTCTTTTTTTAACATTTCAATATTTTTCTTTTTAAACCCTATTAATGTATTTGTTGCCTTAATTTTTTTAATGATATAAATGTTCTCAGCTCTCCTAAATTGTCACCTAGACTTAACTGTCTTGCTATGAGTTCCAGTTTTAATGCTTGAATTATTGATATTAGTTATTTGTTGTGAGGGATAATATACCTTCTCATAATTAGAGCAAAAAATCATTGTATACTTATGAGACTTTATACATGAATTACTCCCCACTCTACCCCTATTTTGAATTCTGGCAATACCTTTGCATCTTGCCATATTTAAGCATAATTTAAGGTAATATTTAAAGTTTCGCATTTCTTATTTATAAAATTAGTAATTGTTAAGTAAAATTCTCATTTACTCTAAGCATGAGGAGGTTGGTTTCTTTTTTGTTTTGCTGTTTGTGTAAGTAGTCACATAGGAATCATTAATTCTTTAACTGTCATACGTTTATTAGCACATCTAAGCCCTGTATAAAAATCCTTTGTGCAGGAAAGAATTTTGAGGGGCTTTAGAAGCTCTTCTTTAAGGTCAATGCAATGTAACTAGTTACCATTTTTCTCGTAGACAGCATCCACTTTATCACCAATGCCTGGGAAGTCCTCTTCTATTAGTCTGGGATAGTCTTTATCCATAATCTGATTAGTATCATCATACCTATTTAATAAAGAAAAGAAGCTGTTAAGTAAGTAAAGAAGCTCTTAAGTATCATTCTTAGAAATTACCTTAGAAATAATATGGTGCATATAATGGCCCCTTTCAAAATTAACAAGGGCTCTAAATTTTCAAGTCCTTAAAACATCTGGGAGCTTTTTAAAATTAGGAATTGGAATACTGAGTGGATTGCAGACTCTTGGTGTGTATTTGTTGACGTGCCTAAAGGCAATCTTTGTTACAAACTCATTTCCATTTCACAAATAATGTATCTGTTACAAAATTATGTCATCAGGAAAGTGTTCTTAGAGTGAAATAAATGTATGCTAATGCATAGACAATTGTCTGTTGATCTCCCACATGTGTAAGACAACTTGCTTAGTAATGGGTACAAAAATATATAAGGTTTAATTTCTGTACTAAAAAGTCATAGAGGCATACAGTAACACCAAAGCGAGGAAGGGGAACGTGGCTTTTCCCACCCATAACAGCACATTCCACGTTCCTTCTTCCCTGCCCATGCCCACACCCTGACCCACAAAATGCATTTCTGAAATTAATCTAGGAGAACAGGCTCTGATGTGGTTCTGTTACTGACGAGAGCTTTTTATATCCTGAGGTATGTTCCAACAAGTAAAAGGTAAGAACCACTGAACTACCAGGAAAGCTAAGACATGTGAACACATAACTGCAACACCAGGCAATAGAAGTTAAGCATGAGAGTGAACATAAATTGTCATGGGAGTACAGGGAAAGGGCAGATAATCTCAGAATGGGGCCATCAAAAAAGACTTTTGTAGATGCAATGATATTTCAGATGAACTTTAAACAACGGGTAGAATTTCAAGAGAGAGAGATGCAGAGAAGGAACCCCCAGCAAAGAAAATCACATAAGGGAAGCTTAAAAGGATGTAAAGGCACATTGTGTCTGAGATATGGTGAGCAGTCTATCCTAACTAAACCATCTACTCCTTGTGGAGTGTAAGGAATGGAACACAGCACCAGGAAGAAGCTGGCGGTGACTGTTAGAAAGTTGTCCATGTCATCGTCAGAAATAAAGTCAAAGGCAAAGATGATATATACAGGGATGTGTGTGTGTGCGCATGTGTGTGTCTGTGTGTGACACTGTGTGTATGTAGAGATGGAGGGAAGCTTTCATTTTAAACATTTTGACTGTTGGGCACCTGTGAGATATTCTCATCCACAAATATAGACATAGATCTAGACTCCTAGATGTCTAGACTCCTGGATCTAGACTCCTAGACTCCTACATGAAGTCTAGATCTAGACTGCTAGATGTCTAGACTCCTAGATCTAGACTGCTAGATGTCGCTGATGGCAAGGCTGCCTGAAGCTCTACATATGTTTTAAACGTTTCAGTTCTACTTGCTTTTTGGAAAGTTTGACTTTACAAACCTATCAGCTTCCTCATCAACATTTCCAATGGATCGGCTGACCCCGCAGACATGGGGGCCTTTTCTGAACCAATCTTCTCCTGTACACTTGCTGGTATCCTCTCTGGCCATAGAAGATGGGGCCTCACATAAGTTTAGGACAGGTTGACAAGAAAGAGAATCCAGAAGAAAAGTAAGAAGGAATGAAGGTGCCAAAGTAAAAACTGGCTTTGCCATAGTTGAAACACAACAAATGGCTAAGAAAGAAAAGAATGGTTGAAAACAGGTGAGTATTTCATGTGTGTATGTGTGTGTTTTCAAGAGGGATTGGGACTTTTAAACACATGTCTGAGGGGCTGCCTGGAAGAGCTGACATGGAACAGAAATGAATGACTGGTATGATATTTACAACGATGTGTGAGAATAATTTACAGCAGTGACAGATGTTTGAGACTCGCTTTGCACCTATGATATGGATGGGTCAGTACACATTGCTGCCATACCTCCAGACCTGGTTTCCTGAGAAGAAGAGTGTCTTGCCTGTATCCTCAAAGTGAACAGCTGCACTTATCTTCTTAACCTCTTTTGGAAATCCCAGTTCAGATATTTTTTTGGGATAACCTTCCATAATGTCATAACCATTAAGAGCCCAAAATTTTCTACCTAGAATAAGTGAAAGAACAGTTTTCTCATTCAAGGGGATCCATTAGGACTTACATATGTACGCATTTACTTAAACAAAGGTAGACTGATTTTATATATTTAGAAATAAAATACTTAGTGTTTGGAGTCACTATGTTTATAAAAGATAGAAATATGAGCATTCTTCAAGCAAAACTAGTATTTAAATACTTAAATTTAAATAAATCTTAAGATCTTAATTTCCTCATTACAAATATAGATGACCAAATATCACAATTAATCTGGCAATTTATTAACTCTGAATATTAAGTTTGGAGCTGGGTGAAAAAATATATTAAAAAACAGTACAGTAGGAACAGTAAATTAGATTCAAAACTCAAATTTTATACCAGTTAAAAAGTCACTTCCTTCTCTAAAAAGTAACTACATTATAACATTAATTATGATAGTTTAACAATAGAAAGAACATCAGTAGAATGTTAAGTAGTCATCTTAAATTATGGTCATAAAGATGAAGTAGCAATTTGGAAAATTTTTCATGATTTTATGTCAAGGGAATAAGTAACATATAAAAATGTATCTATACTATGAAAATAAATATGTAAAAATATGTATTAGATTTGATGAAGGACTAGAAAAAAGTGAGGAAATGAAATAAACTGACTTTTCAGAAGAGAATTATGGATAATATTTTTTTCACTTTTTCAAAATGTATGTTGTTAATAATGTTTCCTCAATAAGTAATTTTTAGGAGGAACTAAGAGAAAAAAACTAACGTGATTGATAGGAAAGAAAGAGTGGACATAATAAGTAATATATGTGAACCTTTTAAATGTCAAATCTGGAGACATTTGGTCGCATGGTTTCAGGTGCTTTCTGGTTTCCATTGGCTAGACTCGATTCTTAATTTAGGTATATTTTCAGCAGTTATCATTTTACTGAGTCTCTGGTGGCGTCAAGCTCACCACTGCCTACCATGGCCATGGGGGAGGCCTCCCCTGTGGAAAGCTTACCTCTAAAGAAGAAGACAAGGTCATGAGAAGGATGCTCATACGCAGCATCAATACGATTGGGAAGTTCTGGCCAAAACGATTTTGTTAAAAACAGCTCTGCGTCAACCTGCTGAGGATGCAGGCGCCAAAAGAATCTAATATGAAAGTAAAAATACAGTTTTCTGTCACATTTTTAAAGTGCACTATTTCTAGCCTGCCAGCCACCTCTCTCTACATAAGTACAGGTAAGTTAGACACAACCATTCCCTTGCACCTGGGAAGGGAAAAAAAAATCCATTTCCCTTTAAGTGCCAGTGACAAGTTGTGGCTATCCTAACTCCATCCTAAGGTATCCAAGTTTGAAATTTCTCAGTCTTTGTAAGGACTGTAAAGGTCCTTTGCGGGTTGAGACTGTGCCTTGTTCAATTTTGCATATCTTTCCAGAGGCCACCAAACGTGCCAAGGCATTGTGTTGGGCTCTAGAAAGAAAACACAAATTACACAAACTATGTCTTCCATGATCGTGGCCTGGGGAAACTGACTCATGAGAAAATACCCAGAGCACAATGTAATTAATATTATAATAGAAAGGGTGGGAATGCTATTGGATCAGATGAGGGAGCAGTGAATGAAAGGATGAATGAATGAATGAACAAATAAGCATACTAAAATAATTTAAAAATTAATATTGCATTTTTAGGTTCATTTCATTCCCTCTCTCAGATCCCAATATATGTATCCAGAACTAAAGTTTTTTCCATACAAAAATGAATTCACCTGGACATTATAAGTAAGAGTTAATTAACACGCCAATTACTTTAAATACTTGTCTGTTTTAAAATAAGTTGAATTTTTAGACTTACTTGGTTGTCTTTATATGAAAGACTACAACCAAAGATGTAAAAAGAAGCTATACAATGTCAAGATTATCTATTGGAAAGTAAATCATTTGCCCATCAGTCATTTATTTGATCAGAAATATGTAAAAGAACTGCCTGCCCAAAGTTCTGTTATTTTTTTACCATTAACTTTCACCTTTGCAAGTAGGACCAGATGTTTTGGCAATATGCAGACATGGCTTCATCAATGTTTGTCTCATATGATTTTATGAGAGAATGTCAAGTGTACCTGTCTTTAAAGATCATGGTTTCTCCTCGGAGACTGGTAATGGCATCAAGGGATAAGGATGGGTCACATTTGTCTGGTGTTTTGGGATGTTTAGGGTTGGGGTCCTCATCTCCTGGACCTGCAGTGGTGAATGCGAGAGAGAAATCACTGAGTGTGACATTACTGATGACCTGGGTCACAGCACAACAGGCCGATCCTGCTGATGGAGAGTAGGAGAGGCTTCCCTCCCAGGGAGGGCAGTGATTCCTGAGGCTCCTACATAATGATACAAATGCCCTATAACCCTACTTCCTTCCTGCAGGGCTTTAAGATCTTGCATGGGGAAACTGGACCTTCGCTTTCATCCTTCAAGACTCCTTGGGATTCTTGTGAGCTATAAACCTAGATTTCTTGAGGTTGATGATAAAATACAGGGGGTGGAGGAGGTGGGAGTGGGAGCAAAACACTTTGAGAAAATATTCCCCACACTTTGCACAATCTATTGATGGACTGCTCTTGAGAACCACATTTCTCTTAAAGCCATCTCTGAAGGCGTACCGTCCCTGTGGAAGCCCTCATCTCGGCTCCTCCTCTTGACGATTTTACCAGCGATCAACATCAGCTAATTTTGCTTGATCAGTCTGCAACAGTGCAGCTGCATCTGCGACAAGCCAGGCCTTCAGCAACTCCAGTGTGACTTGCCACATGTCTGTAACTTCCCCACCAGCTCACATGAGTACAGACAGAAGTACAGTACACAGTAATAATCCTACACTGTTTTTTTTTCTCTGTCTAGTTTATATTAGTTCTATCATCAGTCTCAATGCAGAAATAATAATTGCAAAATAAGTTGGCAAATTCCTTGTACTCATCTTTAAGTTCATGCCCACACCTACTCTAGCTGCTGTAGTAGATTTAAATCCAGAGGTGAAAGTTACAGGTTGGGATAGCGTGAGCAAGTTTTCTGAAGTATGTGCTTCACAAGTGTTTACGCTAATGACTGTGCACTGTGGCTTTAACTCTATTTATGATAGCTAATCTATAAATAAATACTTGGGTTGAGGTTTAATTATTTTGTAAATATTATTGAAAATTTGGGGGGGAAAAGGAAGAATTTCCTGTAATGGTCACTGTAGATGTTGATTAAAAACTACCATAGGCCAGATGAGTGGTTTCTACTGTGGCAAATTGGAATGACTGAAAGAACACCCAGAATTCGTAAAAGCAGGTTAAGATCTCACTTTCACCATCAGCTGTGTTACTATCGATACCTATTTAAACTCTACAGGGCTTAGTATCTTCATTGGTTAAACAGGGAATAAAATGTTTTCCTTTCTTATTACAGAGGTGTTTTAAGGGTATCAAATACACCTTGCAATGTATAAAATACAAATACAAGGAGCTATATTCTGCAAAAACTTTGGAGAATGGAATATTTTCTACTTGAGCAAGCAGTTTGATTTGGGGTAAAAATGGCTATGTTTTCCCAAGTTTTAATAACACAACCAGGAAAGCAATATTGGCAGTGGTAAATTCAAGGAATACGGTCATACATCACTTAATAACAGGGATAAGTTCTAAGAAATATGTTATTAGGCAATTTCATCATCAAACATCAGAGCATATATACACAAACTTAGATAGCGTAGCCTACTACACACCGAGGCTATCTAGGGTAGCCTATTGATCCTATACTACAACCTGTCCATCATGTTTTTAAATTGAATACTGTAGGTAATTGTAGCACAATTGTTAACATATCTAAACATAAAAAAAGGCACAGTAAAAATATGGTCTTATAATCTTATGGGATCATTGTTGCATATGCAGGTATGTCATTGACCAAAATGGTGACATGAGGCACATGGCCACAATTTAAAAAAAAAAAAGTATGTATCTATTCTGCTTATGTAACTGCTTTTATAACTGATACGTTAAGAGTTACCATAGATTTGCATTTCTATGGTAAAGAGGCAAAGATATACAATTTCTATGGTAAAGAGGCAAAGATATACAATGTAACCAAAAGGTCAAAAAAAACCTTTTATTGGGTGGTGGGCAGCTGGGAGAGGGGAGGAGGGGAAGGATATATACTTACATAATAGGTACGGTGTGCACCACCTGGGGGTTGGACACGCTTGATGTGTTGACACAGCGAGGGGTAGGGGGAGGAATGGCAGGGACAATATATGTAACCCTAACAATATCTGTATCCCCATAATATGATAAAAGAAAAAAAAAGAGTTACCGTAGAGAGACTGGATTCCTTGTACATCATCATCCGGAAGCACAAAGTGGCTTTTGCCAGTGTAGGTATAGATGGGAAACATGAGTGCTCCCGGGTCCTTGGAGTGATCAAGACCTAAGGAGTGGCCAAACTCATGGGCAGCAACAAGAAACAGGTTGTAGCCTGGAGGGAAACAAATAAACAATGAGAAAACAAGGTACTCCAATGACCAGTTAATGGAAGAGATATTATTTCCTTATCTATTTGGTATGTTTCTTTCTTGATTATTACTTTCTTCCCTATCTTAATTTTTTTTTTTTTTTTGAGACAGAGTCTCGCTTGTTGCCCAGGCTAGAGTGAGTGCCGTGGCGTCAGCCTAGCTCACAGCAACCTCAAACTCCTGGGCTCAAGCGATCCTTCTGCCTCAGCCTCCCGAGTAGCTGGGACTACAGGCACGCGCCACCATGCCCGGCTAATTTTATATATATATATATATATATATATATATATATATATATATTAGTTGGCCAATTAATTTCTTTCTATTTATAGTAGAGACGGGGTCTTGCTCTTGCTCAGGCTGGTTTCGAACTCCTGACCTCGAGCAATCCGCCCGCCTCAGCCTCCCAGAGTGCTAGGATTACAGGTGTGAGCCACCGCGCCCGGCTTAATTTTTAAAATTAATATCCAATTGCATGAAGGAAGATTCGAAGAACTGATTTAATCCTTATAAATAATTTAGCGTTCTTTTGATTATAGCTACCTACACAATTAGGATGTCAACAGATCGCTCTCATATAATTAGTAATTAATAAGGATTACTATGAAGACACTAGAAATCCTGATTTGCTTTTTGTATTCTCTCAGGTCAGATGAGGAAAGCAGACAGAGATGACTTTAAATGAAGAGTAGGGAAGTCCCATGGGGTGGTACACAGCTAGAGTGCCGCCCAGAACATCATCCAAACAGGAGGCAGCATCCAAAGGGCTGATGACCAAGCATGAAGGATACACTAAAAAGGGTCTCTGTGTCTACACTTGGGAACAAATTCCAATCAAATTATTCTCAGAGTACCTCTAAAGCAGGCATCCCCAAACTATGGCCCACGGGCCACATGTGGGTGTTTTTGCCCGTTTGTTTTTTTACTTCAAAATAAGATATGTGCAGTGTGCATAGGAATTTGTTCATAGTTTTTTTTTAACTATAGTCCGGCCCTCCAAGGTCTGAGGGACAGTGAACTGGCCCCCTGTTTAAAAAGTTTGAGGACCCATGCTCTAGAGTTTAGAAAAACAGTAACTCCAGATGTGATTATCCATGTTTCCTCTACTCTAGAAGGCCACTATGTCACTGTATTTCTACAGTTTCCTCTAGTCATTCTTTCCAACAGTTTTTAGACTCCTAGTACTAGTATTTTAAATTGAAAAAAAAAAAAGGACGATAAAAGACGAAAAGAAAAATAGAATGTATAAGGCAGTAGTCCCCAACCTTTTTGGCATCAGGGACCAGTTTCATGGAAGACAATTTTTCCACGGACCAGGGAAGGGGATGGTTTTGGGATGATTCAAACACATTACATTTATTGTGCAGTCAAACCTCTCTGCTAATGATAATCTGTACTTGCAGCCATGCCTCAGCACAAGCATCATCGCCCAAGCTCCGCCTCAGATCATCAGGCATTAGATTCTCATAAGGAGTGTGCAACCTAGATCCCTCGCATGGACAGGTTACAGTAGGGTTTTCGCTCCTGTGAGAATCTAATGCTGCCACTGATACGATAGGAGGCAGAGCTCAGGTGGTGATGCGAGTGACCGGAAGCAGCTATAAATACAGATGAAGGTTCCCTCGCTTGCCCTCCTGCTGCTCCCCTCCTGCTATGTGGCCCAGCTCCTAACAGAGCGGTACTGGGTCTGTGGCCCAGGAGTTGGGGACCGCAGGTACAAGGCAATACATAGGGATTGCTATTACTTCTTAGAATACATGAAAGCTGAACCTGGTGGTTTCAGTTTGACTTTAAATACCCTTTCCTATCATAGCCTGTGCATGAAAAAAATGAACAGTCAATTTACCAAATCTGTAGTTCGTAAGGGCAATCAGGCCATATAATCTGAGTGAATACTAATTCTTCACTGGAATGGCTAGTAATGGATGCCACTCTGAACCTTCAGCTGTAACATTCATCCAGATCTGTTTGTGGATGTTTTAGTTCATTCTGATTAAAGATTTCAAACTCAGAATTTATACAGGAACCTAAATCTGAGGCTTACTGTGACTATCTCTTAACAATACTGGATGCTATTCTTTCTTCCTAAAACCATCCTTACCTGTGAAATACTACTCAAGAACATAAATATGTAAATTTTCACCTTTCCCTCAAAGACATACTGGGGACATTGGAGCTGAGGTAGTGATCTTTTAAGGCCTAGTCTTATTCTTTGGAAAAATAATCCTTTTTATTTAAATGAATAATAACAATGAACTGTCTATGAAGACTCCTTTTAGTTGTGATGACTAAGTAAGCCCTAATTGGAACAATCTATGGGTTTTCTTCCTAAATTAACATTCCCAATTACTTTGAGCCTTGAAGAATCAAATAGTAACTGAATTCATTATCAGTTTTATTTTGCTCTGGTCAATACAGCCTTCATCTTGTCTGTCTCATATTGTTTGAAATAAGACACTATCTTGATTTCTCAGAGTTATTTATAAAATGAGTAATATAGACAAGTCTGAAACAAATAACTTATATAATAGGGAGCAGAAATTTGACTGAACTTATGCCATCAATATTTCTACCAAGAAAAAAACTATTTTGATTCACATCCAATTCATTTATAACTTATAGAGTCCACCCTAATAGTTTTTAGATATATACTTATAATCATACTTCTTCAACATGCCAAAAGATAATGCACATTAACATTACCATGTCTGACAGACAAGACATTTTGGTCCTGCTTCAAAGTTAATTAATATCCCTCAAGCCACCATGATAAAATAAATAGATTTTGTTCATTTTTCATGTTTAACATTGATTTGTAGAAACTTCACTTGTAGAAATACTAAGTATGAGATAAACTTTTAATTTTTTTAGAAAATATAATCAAATAGCAAATACAATTCACTTTTATGCTTCTTAACTTTGTACCAGTGAGTTCACTGTCTGATTTAGCAATCAATGAAATTATATCTTTATAAGAAATATTACCTTTGGAGCTACTTGTCCAGGTTTCATCATCATCAAAATGGGCATCTCCTCCTAAATTTGGTCCAGGAGGAAAAGCGTGAGCCAGCAGACCAGAGGGTCCATCAAATGGGTAGAAGTCACCATGCTCTACACACAAAAGCAAGAGTTAGGAATCTGATCATACCAACTAGTAACCAGCCCAGGTGTCTGGTGACTTTTTGTTGAATACTATAAAAAGTAACAAATAATTGAACGAAGGAATTTAAAAACGGAACCAATTAAGAATTAGAATATAAAAATGTTTTTTAAATGTCTTTACCTTTAGTTCCGAAAGAGATCATGATATCAGCAGTGCCATCGTGAAGTCTGGTAAAATTCAGAGGTGTCACGTCGGACCAAACTTTGAAGGCTTTTTTAAATGCCTTTTCAACTTCAGAATGAGTCATATCGGGGGTGTAATTCACAATTCTAGTCAACATAGAAAGCATCAATTAGATTTTTGGAAGGTAAAAACTATTTTGGAATATATTTTCTTGAAACCTTGGTGTTCAACCCAAAATGCAATGGTTTCTATTAATTATGACGCGATATAAGAATAAAAAGTCAAGAATTCAATCAGAAATTTGAGTATCTACAAATATCTATGTGGCATCTTAACTTAAAATATTCAGATGTATAATAGAATTTATTTTACATGCTAAAAGTTTGGAATGATATTGATATAGCCCAAATAAATGAAATACCTCTGTAAAGTTTCTAGAAAGAGTAAACTCTCCATCTTTAGCACTGCTGTGATAAATACACTGTTGTACTACACTTGCAACTTGTCTTGAGCCTACTTTTACCTATATTTTGGTTTCATTTCTAAAAGAAGTACTTTGAGATGTCCACCAAAAAATAATGCTGGGTTAACATAACAATAATGGATGTTATGGGACATTTTCAGCAACAACAGTATTAAAGCTATTCCTGGACTTAACTTCCAATTAAATATTTAGGACTAATTAATATTAGACATTTAATACTGTGAGGAAAAAACCAGGACACATTAAAGAAATATAGCCTCTGATTTACCTGTAGGTTAAATTCGTTTGGGTCCATTTGAGAGTTCGAGGGAAAACATTGTATTCACCCACATCAGGGACCCCGCATCTTGGTTTTTTCATGATATCTAAGGTGTTATCGTCAAGTTTGCCAGTCACTTCCAAGCCAAAAAAAGACTGCATTTCTCGAAGCCTGTCAACCATGGAACTTGCTGACGTCTTCTTCAGGATTCCCGCGAGAATCGGAGGATGGTAGTAGGATTTCAGGTAACGCTACAAAAGACACCAAAATGACCTGCTTTTAAACAAGAAGGGAATCGATGAGATGCACCACCTCATTAGGACAGGCAAGATACTCTACCTCTGCAAACTGGAGGTCTTCCTCTGACAAATCGTCATCGTCACCATCAGGAAGGGGCAGGGACCGACAATGAGTCCAGCTCAAGAAGAGGAAGGCCACCAGGACACCTTGCATCTTGAATGGCTGAGCCTGGAGGCTGCTGCCTTCCACGGACAGCACCTTTGCTTTTATAGACCTGCCATGGTGAGTCATCACGGATGGATATGTTTCAACTTCCTTGTCAGTTGGAGGTAAACATGCTTACATGGCGACTTTTTTTTTTTCCCTCCCAAGTGTGGTTTGTGGTAGAATTTGAGGGAAATATAAATGAGGGCATCTCTCATTTCAGCAGGGTCTCAAAACCCATCTGGCAAAATAAACAGCCTCAGCATATTTATGGATCCTGTGGGAAGAAGCGGAGAGTAGTAAATTTTTCACTTCACTTAGCAAAAATGTTTTTTCCCTCCTACGGGAAAACAGCTACTTCTACTTTTTCAAATAATAAGAACATCAAGATGGTATATGTACTTCCATAAAGAGAAACCTAGACTTGCTTCCAGAATGTTTATAGCCTGGTGAGTTCTAAACTGCATTCTCTCCAGAGCGACTACAGAGGAAAATACTGTGCTTATCTGAGGGCCGTGGAATTGGACCAGAACGGAGCTTGAAGGTTCTGAGCTACTGCAGCACATCCACAAGATTGAGTCCATGGTGGGAATTTAAACACACTGGCATGCATGACTGCTCAACAAATATGGAGACCTGCATGAATTCCCTACGGGTATAGGCAGAGGTAGAATTATTACATGGGAACACAAAAACTATCATGGTTAACACATATTGAGGGACTACTACATACGAGGTTTAAAATGTATTATCTTACTTAATCCTTACAATAACCTTTCATACATACTATCAGAAGACTTGTTTTCCATTTTATATACGAATTATCTGAGACACAGAGAAGTTAAATACTTGCATAAGGTCATATGGTTAATAAACAGTACTATCAGGATTCGAACCCAGACCAGTTGACTCAAGACTCCATGTTCTTAACCACTGCCCAATATGGCCTCTACCCCATCCATTTTCATATAAACTGAGTTGTGTTGTTCCTACACCTCTGGGAGTGCTCAGGAAAACTAGGACTGTAGTAGTTAAGCACATGGCCAATTTTGAGTTTCGAAATTTTTATTTTTAAATTTGAACAATAGAAATACCCTTGGTCCAACAACTCAGGAAAGTAGTCCTGTTCTTTTTAGAACTTTACACATTCAATACCATGAAATCTAAGTGTCATCTTTAAATGGATAGAACAGAGGTGAGGAATCTTTCATGTTGGAAGACCATATTAATTTACCTATGATCAAATAAGGCCACATTCAAGAAACTTTAATTAGATACACTTAAAAATGTACATCATTTTGTAAAATTCTAACTACTATGTACTTAATAATTTCAAGAAATGAAAACTATTAATTTTAAAGTTAACTAACTTTTTAATGACTTTCTTGTATCTGCTTTTTGTTGAAAAGCATTTGAATATTTGGTTACAGCATTAAGGTCCACACTTTCAGTTGATCCTTGGTCTAGATGGGTAAAGTCATTTGTGACTGTGAGGTTGTCTTGGGTTAGGTAGGAGAATGTATATTCACAGCAATTAGTGGTTAAAAAGCAAGAAAGCATTTTTTGGGCATGTTATCTGCTGAAGTCATGAGTATTCTTCTGCATTTTTCCATATTTCAAATCAATCTTTCTTAGCATGAAACGACTTTAAAATGTCATCTACTGAGAGCTTAATCGATTCCATCTGCAGTTCTTTAAGTGCCTTGGTGCTATCAGCTAGGTGAGGCTGACATGCTAATTTGAGTGTGATGTCATGATTCTCAAAGTCAGTGAGTTTTTTTCATTGTATTCTCTAATTAGTAGATCTGTAACAGCTATGTATTCTTCAGATGATTCACATATATCGTCCTGCTCATCAATGACCTTTGCTATCAGGGAAAAATGATCATCCAAATTTCCTTTTGAAGAAATGTTTTGAAGAAAGATAGATTGTTTTTGAAATGCTTGGATTTTTTTTGTCATATATCATATATAGACTTAGTCTTACCTTGCAAAGAAATACGCAAGTCATTTTGATTTGACATATCACACAGAGATGCTGCATTCCAATAGAAATCGTCTTTCAACAATTCACATTGCTGATTCTGTTCTTCATAAAATTTAACTATCTGTTCTTGCAGAGATAAAATTTTGGCTAACACTTGTCCCTCCGATGGCCCATGCACTTTAGAATGATATGGCAAATCCACACTAAATATTTCATTGTTCAAATTTAGCATGTTACAAAACTGACATGCCATGTTGCATTTGCATAAATCTAGTCAACAATACTTATAGCTTGTTGTGAAGTGTCACTTAAAATAGGAGCTTTGGCACAGAGATTTTGCTGATGCAAGATACAATGAAAAGAAATGAGAGCATCTGGAACTGTTAATACTTTTTTATCTGTGCAATAAACCCTTCATGTTTTCCTGTCATTGAAGGTGCAGCATCTGTACATACACTCACTAAATTTACCAAATTCAGTCCAACTTCATGACATTTATCTTGAAAGTTGTTGAAGATATCTATTCCCCGTGTTCTGTTGGCAAGAGTGGCCAAAGCAAGTAACTCTTCATAGCAAAGAAAATCTTCCATTATGATCCGAATGAAGTATAAAACCTGCACCGAGTCAGTAGCATCAGTTGATTCATCCAAAGAGATTGAATAATATATATTTTCCTTTGGAAGAATGGCATGAAATTGTTCTGTTAAATTGAAGGCTGCCAATCAGTTATGGTTCTCCTTGAAAGAAGAACTTGTTTGTACTTTGAAACGTTATAAGGGTTTAGCCATCCTACAACTTTGACAGTGCATTCTTTCACAATTTCTATATCGCTGAATGGCTTCCCTTCAACCCCAAGTATATAAGCTACTTTATAAGTTGCTTCAGTGGCATTATTTCTGTGTCTTATTGCTGCTTGAAAGAATTATCTTTGCTTTTGCTTTTCATCTTTTATTTTCTGCAATACAACCTTCAGCATCTCTCCCTCTAGTTTAAAATATTTGTGGTCCTTAGGAGTAGTATCATGCTGATGAGCATTGAATTTCTTTAGTGTTGATATTGCAGTGTCACAAAGCATGCAAATCATCTTATCTTTAGCAGATACAAGATAATATTGCAATTCTCAATCCTCACTGAAAAATCTGTTTTCTTTCTTCATTGTTCTCTTGGTCTTCTTTGACATCATGGGCTATTAAGTAGATAGAATTTTAAAATGCTATTGAGCTGTGCAACTATTCACAAATTTCACTTCAAACAGAAGCACAGTGCACCATTGTCAAAAGCTGATAACAGACTGGCGTACTTGACCCCATAACCTTGACAGCCAGCCTCATGCAGTAGTGCCACCAGTCAGGCGGAAGAAGTTAGAACTGTAATAAATCATGAGCATAGCAGCTGTCAGTTTAGCCCTTATGGCTTACCAATGTTCTAATTGTGCCTGCCAATCTGGGAGGATTATTTTATTGAAACTTATTTTATTCTTTGGTATTTTAAATATGTTCGTTTAAAAAATAAACTAAAATATAAAAGATTAACAAAAATGTATTAATAACAATAAAAAGATTTGTTCTGAAAATTCGGATTCGGTCAAAAGGCACACACTTAAGGACCTAGAAGGCCACATGTGGCTAAACAGCCACAGGTTCCCCACCCCTGGGGTAGAACAATATAGACAATGATATTCAGATTTATTGGACTTCTTTAAATAAATGATTGAAAATGCAAGTTAATTTAAGTGATTAAGAGTCAGAAATAAAATGAAGCTCAGGTGAGGAACATATTAAAACAAAGAGAGGGAGCATGAATACAGCTTTAGGGTGAGTAGGAAATGGGGGTCAAACATGTGGGTAAAATGCTATAATCTATAGTAGCCCCAGGACCTTAGAGAAAAGCAGAAAAGCCTATAAAATGTAAGCAATCAGTTGAAGGAAATTTTTTACACTTTTATCCAAAAGGCAGCCAAATATACCCTTAGAATAGATTGTTTCCTATGAGTTTGATATTATATTTGGGCTCAATCAGCAATACAAAACAATGATGTATTTTATTTATTTTTTTTTTTTTTTTTTTTTTTTTGAGACAGAGTCTCACTTTGTTGTCCAGGCTAGAGTGAGTGCCGTGGCGTCAGCCTAGCTCACAGCAACCTCAAACTCCTGGGCTTGAGTGATCCTTCTGCCTCAGCCTCCCGAGTAGCTGGGACTACAGGCATGCGCCACCATGCCCGGCTAATTTTTTATATATATATCAGTTGGCCAATTAATTTCTTTCTATTTATAGTAGAGACGGGGTCTCGCTCTTGCTCAGGCTGGTTTTGAACTCCTGACCTTGAGCAATCCGCCCGCCTCGGCCTCCCAGAGAGCTAGGATTACAGGCGTGAGCCACCGCGCCCGGCCAACAATGATGTATTTTAAGTCTCTTCCATGTACAATAATATTTAATTTAAGACTCAGAAGTGCTGCAGCTCATCCACAGGATTGAGTCCCATGTTTGGCATTTAACACATTGACTGCCATGTGTTTATTTAACTCAGGCTAGTTTTGAGCCCAGGGCCCTGTGAAGCAAAACCCTGCAGTTGGTTGGTGAAAATTTTACTTGTTGATGTTCTTATTGTTACCATTAATATTGATGATTTAATTCTAAAAACTTGCATTGTATATAACTCATGCACAGAAAGCAACAAAAAATATCATATTAGAAAGGATCATTTTGTTTTAATAAAACACCATGGCCCCTGGGGAAAAAAGTTTTTTTTTCTAGTGTGGCAGTCCATGTGTGAAATATGCTGGCATGACATTAAATGAAAAATTATCCAAAAGTTTGATTTATCTGTTAAGCTTATAGAAATTATTGGAAAAAAATCATTGGGAAACATTTGTTTTTTCCAATTAATTTTTATATCTTTTAAAGTCTCTTTAGATAGGCCAGGCATGGTGGCTCACACCTGTAATCTTAGCACTCTGGGAGGCCAAGGCAGGAGTATAGCTTGAGGCCAGGAGTTTGAGACCAGCTTGAGTAAGAGCAAGACCCCATGTCTACAAAAAATAGAT